GCAGACATCATGCCTTTCTCTCCCTCCCTGAGCTGACTGGGCGGAGTGGTGACCAGGTGACCCCTGCTGCGGCCTGGCCCCCGGCAGCTGTGTTTCAGTCATCTGCTCAGAGAACTTGGAAAGACAGAGACTTCCTCGAACTCTTTGGTATTAAGTGTTTTCCCATTGACGACGGGTCTTTCGCAAGTAGCATTAGCTCTTTTTAAATGAAGGCGAACTGAGCTAAGGATGAACTTTGCTCCAATGTTGTGGACACAGTGGGCCTGGCGAGGCCTCCTTAGGCTCCTTCGATGCCGCTTTGTTAACGAGGGCCAGAGACTCGCTTTGCCACGTCTCTGAAGGTTGCCGTGTTCCCGCTGGCAGGGGCTTGCTTTCCTCTTACTCTCACTCTAACCATGTGCCTGGAGGAGCTGTCCTGGGCTCTTGCACTTGGCCCACCCTCTCTTCACCGGGTCAGGGAAGGGAAAGGGACAGACCCGGTGTGCCAAGGGCCGTGCGGGGGCAGCTTGCTTTCTACCCCATCCTCTGAGGACGCCTCTTCCCCTCGCTCCTTGCCTGTGCTCATGCCTGTCATCTTGAAAAAGGATGGTCTTAAGGCTTTGTGATAAAGTCATCTTCAGTTAGGACTGGTACCTGTTTCCTTCTTACTGGGGCCTGGTGGCCTTTCTGAAGTTACAGGTGGTCAGGAGCCCTCCAATGTACACAACATCTGGTAAATGTACCTGCCAGACTGGGTGGTTCTACTGCTTTCTAAATTTCTAAGAACCTCTTTCCTTTTCTTTCTCAAAGAGCTCTGCAGAATTATTTGACAATATGCGTAAGAACCATGTTTCCTTGTGGTGTATGCTCTGTCCTGGTTTTTGTTTTTAAATCAAATGCCTGTTTGGGAGGAGATGAACGTATTTAGTCTATTAGATTTGCGCTGCTGGATTTTTTTAAAAGTGTAACCTTGATTAGCTGTCTTATTGTTTACCCTGTAAGATTAGTCTATCAATTAAAGTTTGATAATTAATTGTGTCTCCTTTTCCTTCCGATTCTTCCTGCGCCTGATGTGTATCGGGGATTGACCAACATGTGGAACTGGGTCTGGAGCCAGTTTTTGGCCGTCTGTGATGTACCGTGTTACTGTCTCATTTATTTGGTTTTAAGTATATCCAAATGTGTTCCTGCTGAAAACAGTTGATGAAGGGGTATGACTTTACTCCGTGTCAGTCAGAGCGCCCAGCCCGGCAGTCAGCCTCGTCCCTGTAAGGGCTGTCTTCCTTCGCCTGGTCTAGCCACCAGTGGTTGGAGGGGCTGCTGCCTTCTGACTGGTGCCCCGTGTGAATTCACCTGGTCATTTAGCATTTGAGGACATGTTTGATAAAACACTGAGATGAGCTACAGCCCCGGCCACAAGTTACAAAGACCCATGAGGAGGGAGGGAGATCTGGTGCCAAAAGTGGGACAGAAGCAGAGTCCTTGGCATGAAGAATGACTATAGTTTGTCAGAACTGGTTTTTTACCCAGCATCACTCCACTGGACCCTCTCTTCTCTTCCCCCTACTTTGTAAATGTTCCTGAAGGTTCTGGTCTCACATTGCCCCTTCCTGACTCTTTTCCATTTTCCCCAATACCTTGTAATCCTAAAGCAGTGCTGTTGGATTCTTAAGACTCTGTTACAGGAGACGGAGGGCTGAGTGGTGCTGTGTACGTGCTGTCTGTTGGCTGATGCCCACCTAGAGGGTCTTCAGTCTGCACAGAGGTTACTTCTGGATTTTATCCCAATTCTGAACCGTTGCTTCAGGCACCTTAAAATGAATGGGTATTTGGAGGGGGGAGGGT